ATATATATATATATTCAACTAATTGATTTCTTTATATTTAAATAAGAATTTGGGATAGTAACAAGACATTTTGAGATACATTACTTGAAATTTTCAGACATAGTGGGAATTCTGACATAATAACTCAAAACTCTGAGGCATATAACTTAAAAATTTGAGATAACCTGAAATCTGAGGACAATAACCTGCAATTTTGATATAATAATTTAAAATTTTGACTTAGCTTCTTGTGTTTTTTTTCCTGGGCCATTTGTAAACCTGTTTTGTTTCTTGATGTATTTCTGTAAAATATAAATCTGCTTGCAAATCTGTTCGTACATCTTCTTAGTAGACGATCTTTAGCGATTCCCTCGTCATTTGTCACGTGACTGACATGTTTACATCCAGGTTCTTCTCGTTTAACTTCCGGAACTGCGCAGTAGGAGTCAGCTGACAGTTGTGGTCAAGCAACCAGTGAAACATCTCAGCTGAAGAGACCCTGAACGGAGGAGGGGAGGGGAAAGCCTCTTTTTTTTGTCTCCAGAACCGTAACGGCCGCGGAGAAACGGACAGCCGTTACCTCCTTAGATACCCGGCCACGTCTTCCCGCCTTCCACGCAATGAGTATCAGCGCTCCGAGAGGCCTGGCCAGCTCGGGGCAAAAGCCCATCACGGAGATTCTCCACCCGCTGTCCGCCGCCGAGGAGCCGCTCTCCCCCGGGCCAGATGTCACCGTCAGCGGTGGAAGGGATAAGGTAGGATCTGATGGGGCTTCACCGACGGTGGGGGATGGAAAGAGGACGCTTACCCAAACAAAACCCCTCTTTGATTAAAGTGTTTTACGGCTGACGCCAGTGTATATCATTCCCCCTGTTAATAAGTAGGAGAAAACCGATGTAAGTTTAAAGAGGAAACTGTGGAAAACACTCATTTCTGTTTGCATTTGAGGTTTTAGAGCACATGGCTGAACCCTCTGAGTCTGCCACTAAATCAGTGCTGAAACAGCAAATTCACCTAGTTTGGATATCTTGCCCAAATTAATCGACACAAACTCGCAAGTAAAACCGTATTTAAGATGGATTATGTGTGTACGTGGGCATGGCATCCATCTCAACCCCGGTGAGCTGAGTAAACAAAGTTGGGCCATCCAAGCATATCACATGGCTTTTATTCTCCCTGCTTCTGCTGCTGCTGCTGCTGCTGTGTTTACTGTAGTAACAACTGTAGCAACCACTTTGATACTGAGGTTAATTATTGCCTACAGGAGATGCTGTAATACTGCCAGTATGAAGCTTCTTGGCATCATTATGGTTGTGGCTTTTCCTTGTACATGATTACCCAGGCCAAATGGGTCTGGCTCCTGTCAAACCATTTGTCCAGTCATTTTAACAAAATGGAAATGCCACAGGCTCCAGAGCAGGTCTAATATCATTCTATTTAGATAAGAGATCTTATTTTTCTTAGGATCTGGTGTATAATGTTAAACACCGAAATTGCATGCCTAAGGGTGCTTTTAGTTCCTTAAAGAAGCTGTAGGAAACAAACACCACAATAACCCATTAAGCATACTGCAGCTCAAGTGGTCTGAGTGGGAACTAATCAAAAGGGAACTGGACTCCTGCACCTCCCTTGCTGTCTGTTTTCAGGCTTCATAAACTCTGGTCAATGATGGAAGACTTTGGACAATCACAGGCTGTTTCAGACCAGATCAGGTGAACAGTACAAAGAGCAAAAAAGTGCAAAGGAAGTAGAATTCACTCAGGTAGAGTGGACAAACGCAAATGTGATGAGTCAAAGGTTCGATCCCAAAGTCTGTGGGGGAGATGGACGCCCAATCTTGAAAAATACACAAACATCCACGGCAAAAAAATTTGAGGGTGGGCAGGTGTGCAATAACACATCATATGTATAAAAAGATAATGACAGATGGAGGCTTTCTTTTATGATTAAAAATCCCAATTGCATCTGTCGGTGTGTGTACCGATGCAACAGATTTATCTAATAGGCGTGTGCCCATGTTGGTCTGTAGGGAGGGGTATGAAAGTGGTGCTAGATTGGATCAGTCACATAAAAATTGAAGTGCACATTTTCTTTATTACTGATTTTGATGTTCATTTGATTATTTTGAGGTCTGGGCTGTTGATAGGACAAAGCAAGGATTTACATTGTGTCACTTTGAGGTCTGAGAGAGAGTATGAAAGTGGTTGCATGAGCAAATTTAGCAAGTTCACAAGTGGCACAATTGCAGGCATTTGGACAGCAAAACAAATGATCACAGCAGCATAGGTCCTACTTGCTGCAGCTTTAACCTGCAAAAACAGGCACAGGTTGTTTGTGTTAACATAAACATGTATAATTTTTTTAAGTTGGCAAGTTCATATTTTAGGCGTGACCATAAGTGTTTAAAATATGCAAACATGTCCTTAAGGAGCAGCTGGTGTTATTTAGTGATAACAAAAAAAAGCTCAGGTGGAAATATTACGTTGATGATGGTGAGGGTTAAATTCCATTCGGTGCTTGGTGACTCACTGACATGCTGTCGTGGCACTTGATGTATTTAGTAACACCTGTGCTCTAAATATCTGCTGATTGGCCACAATGCCGGGACTGGTTGTCACAAACATCTGTCAGCTCTGCCGTGTCCGTTAGACACATACAGTTTTCTTATTCTCCTCCTCACTGTCAGTGCGAACTGGACTCTCCTGTTGCTTATTAACATCAGCCCAATGCAATTATCTCAACTGTGATTACCAAAGCAGGTTAGCACCAAAGTGTTTAAAAAAAAAAAGAGAGAATTTACAGCATCAGCGCCCGTGTGTGTGTTTCCTGTGTGCACAGCAATGAGTGAAAGCAGTGTGAAGAAACTGTGTGGACAAACTGAGGGAAAGCACTTCTTTTGACAGCGATTGAAGTAGAAATTTATCCACAGACCCTCTTTTTCTTTTATTTCTTTTTCTTTTTAAAGAAAAGGTAATTGTGCTTGAACATGAGCCTCTCACACAACGAAAGTAGTTCCTTTTCTCATGTGATGCCATAGAAGACTCTGACAGCCGCTGAGATTTGTCACCAGAAGTTCACAGAAAATCAAATGTTACATTACAAGTCCTCATTCCAGCGGTCCATAATAAAACTGTTTGTGTTATGTTGTTTCCTGCTAACAAAAATGATCCTTTGTGCAGTTTTTGGTTGCACCACTGATATTTTCACCCTTTATTTACATGTTTCTAGACAAGAATCAGAACAGAATTGGGGGAAAAGGCTTTTAGATACGCTGCCCCTGCTTCCTGGATCTGAATCTGGAGAAGGAACTGAAAGTATCAGAATTGGTTACCTTGGGGGAGTTTAAGTCCATCTTAAAGGAACGAGAGAATAACTCTTTTACTCAATGTGATTGTTTTTAATGTCGCTCTTAATTTGATCTGTTATTGTATATTTTTCACATGTTTATATGGGATATTGTATTTGTTTTAAGTGTTATATACTTATGTGGTACATGTATTTTGACTTTTGTTGCCATGATGCCAGGTCTCTCTTGGAAATGAGATTTTTTTACCTGGATAAATAAAGGACTAATAAATAAAAATAAAAGAATACATGCGTTTTTCTGCAATATGCATCCAAAAGTGCTCAACAAAAAGATAATAGAACAGCATTAAAATCTTCTCAACTTCAATTCCATGTCAGTACAGCTTTAATAATTCATGATCAATTTTCTCCCAACATACAGTGCGGGATATTGGCCCAGTGCACTCCTGAGATTGCACCTCTACTGTTAGCAGCACCTCTTAGTTAGTCTTCTAAACTATTATTTCTTAAGTAAGGCCCTTGGAAAGCAGTGACTTTTATATATTTACTTGAAGATAAGATAAAAAAAATTCTCAGTATTTCATGCCAGAGCTGTTTGTTTCCCTCCCATTATCCGTCATTCAGTTAGGACGGTGTAGGAGATGTAGGATGTTTGCACGGGCCTAACAAGAGCGCCATTGACAGAGAGGGAAAAAAACTGCAGTGGCAGCATCGGGATCTGTGTTTTACTCTTTGTTTGCAGAGTGCAGCATCTGTATTTTGGTGTCATGATGTTGTGGTTATCTGTTCACATGCAGGAAGTGGGGCTGACCAACGGCACGCCGGTTGAGACGCCGAGTCCGGCTTCTGCGTCCGTGCTGTTCAACAGGCTGCAGCTGGACGACGACTTGGACTCAGATGGCCGGGACCCCTACGCCGACACAGAAACCCACGACCTTTTCGTCACTGTCGACGACCCAAAGAAACACGTCTCCACCATGGAGACCTACATCACTTACAGAGTCTCCACCAAGGTCTGCTACAGGCTGGTGTCATGATAATGTGAACAAACTCTGTTTTATTTTCTAGAAAATAATTGCTTAATTAAACTTTTATTTAGTGTTTTCTTGTATTTTTTTTTTTTTCTTCGACCTGCATTTAATGATGGCGCAGAGCTTTAATGCAGCTGCTGGAGGTTCTGAAAAATCCTGTGCTGTAGTGTTAAAATGAATATTTAATTAGAAAAACATACCAGTGAGGAAGGTGTAAGTTAAAGATACTCTGTGGTGTTTTTGACTTGCAGTGCATTGTTTTTATGACTGTGTAGCAGTGCAGCAGCACAGGTAGGGAAGCTACCTAACAAGGATGTAAACAGAGGAAAATACACTTGACACATTTGTATGGGCTTTGTCCACAGAGCACTTTAACAACTTAAGATGTGTAGATAGGAATCAGGCTTTTCTTGATGAAGCTGTGAAAGGTTACATGGTGACAGCTCATAGACTCTTATATATTGCAGTGGGTGTATTTTGTCTGTTTATTCACTGAGCCCCCTTTTTTTCTAAATTCAGTTTTCACATCTCTTAATTTCTCTTTTTTAAGAGATGTTTTAAGAGATTGCTGTTGTTAACCTCCAGTTTAAAGCCACAGACACACTGATGTTTTATCTCAAAAATACTGTGATGTAGAAATGTACATTAGTTATAGTTGCCAGCTTTTGTCACAGGAGCAGCAGCAGGCAAGAGAATGTTGCCACCTCCAGACAAAGAGAGAAATGGATGCTGGAGCAGAAACCATGTGTTAAATCTACACTTTTATGTGTATATGAGTTTTTTGTTTTTAAAGCTGTTGTTATTGCATTGTCCATTGTTAGAAAGGCATGGACACCAAATTCTGAACCCACAGTGAAACAAAGGGACAATTATGTGACAGATTGCCTGGTGCAATTTATTTTGTGGGTTTCGCGAGGAGGAGGGTAAGCCCGAAAATAAAAATCTAGAAAAATATTTGATATATGAGGCTAAAATTTCACAATGTATGTATGTCCACATTTTAAAACCATAAAGGTTTCAAGTAAATCAGAGGTGGTTGCGCAGAAAATGTTTAAATAATTTATTGAACCGGTTAGACCTGAATTTGCTTGTATCCTGATAAAACGGGTCGTTTCAGATACATGAACCTTTCCTGGAAAATGATATTCCGCAAGGGAGATTCTGTAACTTGTGTTTAGCGGGTGGATCCTCTGTTTTTTGTTTTTTTTGTTTTTCTTCTTCAGCGCTTAATGACATAAACCGATTCAGTGGGGAGACATGTCCAAGCAACCTTTGACCCTTGATGTTCAGAGAGACAGGAAGTGCATTTTTGTGTGTGTACACATGCACTGCCTACTGTGAATACTAAATGATTTTCCCATTTCTTTCTTTCTAAATTAACTTAAACTGTTACAAAATAACTCACAAACGGTGTAAAATTTACTCGGCCACAAAAGGCTGCGTTCATGGACCTGTTTGACTTTACCACCTTGTCACATGCTGGATTTTTCTAGCTCTTTCTTCCTTTTTTTTATATGAAGAATTTAATTTAGAAATGTTTGTGTGTGTTCTTCCTCAGACAACACGGATAGAGTTTGACCTGCCGGAGTACTCTGTTCGGCGGCGCTATCAGGACTTTGACTGGCTGAGGACCAAGCTGGAGGACAGCCAGCCGACCCACCTCATCCCAGTAGGTTACACGAGCTTTGTTTGCAACCAGCTGTGCCACTTGCCAATTAGAAACCTCTCACGCTTTCTTTTGCACTCCCGTCTCGTCCCCGCTCTGCCGTCGTCCTCCCATCTCCAGCCGTTACCAGAGAAGTTTGTGATGAAGGGCGTGGTCGATCGTTTTTCCGAGGAGTTTGTGGAGACGAGGATGAAGGCCCTGGACAAGTTCCTGAAACGAGTTGCAGACCACCCCGTCCTCTCCTTCAACCCTCATCTAAATGCTTTCCTGTCTGCCAAGGTGAGATGGGGGTCTTCCATGAAGAAAAGCAGTCCCACTAATGTATGAATATAGGTCAAAAAGAAAGGAAAATCATGAATGCTGTTGCGTGATAAATGAAAATTCAAAAGGCTTAACCTCAGCTGTAAGCTTTCAGAAAAATATAAAACCACAAAATATAGACCTCTTATTTCCTTGCTTAAAATGTCTTTAAGCAAAGTTTTTGTTGCTCTCTTTAAGACGAAAGACCTTCAAATGGTCTTAATCGCCACCAATACTCGATCTCCACTGAGAAGAGGAGAGGAGACACGATTACCATCATATTTTCTTTACTGTCTAACCTTTTGAAACTTATATGGCTGCCTATTTATATCAAGATCATGCTGTTGCTCGCAGGACCTCAACAAACGTCAGGGTCTGGCCCTGCTATCCAAAGTGGGTGAGTCTGTGAAGAACGTGGCTGGAGGCTACAAGCTGCGAGTGCGACCTCCTGAGTTCTGCGCCATGGGAGAATACCTGGACACCTTTAACCAGAAACTGGGAACCATCGACCGGATCGCTCAGAGGATCCTCAAAGAGCAATCAGGTAAGGGGCTGAGGAAATATTATTTAAGCATGATAATTCTTCCTCCTTCATCTATTTTCCAGAGAAGTCTGAGCACAGATGCCCTTACATGCCTTTCATCAGTCACCTGCCCAGCTTTTCTGGAGAGAATCTGAGGTGTTTGTAGGCTAGCCAGGGAGACATAACCTATTCAGAGTGTCTTGGCTGGCCAGTGGTCTTCTCTTAGCTGGACATGCCTGAAATACCTCATGTAGGAGGCGTAGGAGGCTCGTATCATCATCAAAAGTCCCCGGCACCTTTGCTGTTACATATGGTGAACTGTTTATCTATTTTTTTCCATTCTAAATTAAACCCACAAAAGCAGAAATAATTATGCTGAATCATAAAAAAAAAAAGAAGAAGCTAAAAACCAGAAGAGAAGCTTTCGTTTGTATAGGATGTTTTTATTTTACCAAATATATTAAACTCCATGCTGACCCTTAGATGTATAAAGCACTATGGCTGGATAAAGAGTTAAATTCTCTAGAGTTGCTTACCCCATTTGTGTATTTTAGGCACATGCAGGAAGCAGCCAAATTCATATGGTGCTGTGCTCTTTGCAGCGTAGCCTCAGTGACTATAGAGGAGCTATTTGTATGTTTACCACTGTGCTTGTGGTTACAGATGAACTTCATCGAGGCTACTTCTTCCAAATGTGTATTTTAAGCACCAGCAAGCAACGAGTGCATATAGTGCATTGGAGCTTGCTCTTTATATTACGTTTCTTGGCCATTTTGCTGGTAGCATTTTGTAGCATCGGCTGTTTGAATTTCATGTGCGATCGTCCAGTCTGTACCGGGGACACAAGCAATGAGTTTTAGGATGAGTTGATATGCAGTATTGACTGTGGAGTGTGTTTGTTTGAAGAGGAATCCACAGACCTTTGGGCCTTGTGGTTGATAACTGCAGGCCTAACTCATGCATGAAAAAGTGACTGTGTAAATAACTGCCACCAGCCACGTGAAGTGCTGCTCGGCACCATCTGTTCAAGTTGTAGACCAGTGGCTGTCCGCGGCAGCCTTGTTAGAGGAGATAAGATGGAAACTGATGATTGTAAATAATAAAGACCTGTGAGGTGATGGAGTGTAATCCAATCCAATTTTATTTATAAAGCACTTTAAAATACCCAGCACAGGACCAAAGTGCTGTACAGAAAATAAGTTAAAAAAAAGGGGGAAAAAAAAAAAAAAAAACTATGCTTGTGGCTTTGCTGTGATTTATCTCCCAGCACTAGTACTCTGCAGTAACTCTGACTTTAAGAAGTCAGATCTGACCTAACCAACTCTTTCACCCCATCTCTCGACTAGAGTATCTAACTGAGCTACGCGAGTATGGTACAGTCTATGCCAGTTGGGCGGGGTCAGAGGAGGAGCTGCAGCGCCCTCTGGAGGGCGTGGCTGGCTGTGTGACGACGTGCTGCGGCGCGCTGGAGGACATGAGCGAGAACATGGGCCAGGACTTTCTACCCGTGCTCAGAGAATACATTCTCTACATCGAATCAATGAAGGTAGGGAGTTGGTGGCACTAAAAACGTGTAACGTCTGCTTGATGTGTCAAGAAAAGGGAACAAAATAAAGTGTTCTAATTTCTGCTAATTAGTCCCCGGGTGTAGGTTAAACAAAAATTTAGCGTTAACTGTTTAGAAATTTTTGGACATTTTATACTAACTCATAGTAATTAATTGGCTGATGATAACATTCATGGCCAGATGAGGCCTGTTCTCTTGTTATTTCATGACAGATAAAAGATCAACATGAAGTCCAAAGAGATATGCAAGTGAAAAAAGCGATTGTTAGGCTGAAAAGACAAAGCGAGAGAGTTGCTTAACTTGCTTGAAAAGAATGAAAGCCCTGGCAAGCTCATCAAAACCAAAAGACCCGAAAGAGCACAGAAAACAACTGAAGTCGATGATGACAGAATTATTTCCATGGCCAAGAAAACCTCCCTTCACAACATCTAACTAAGCCAAGAACACTCTTGAGATGGTGCGTACATCATTGTCAAGGTCTAAAATCAAGAGATGCCTTCATGAGTGTAAATAAAGAGGGTTTACAACAAGACGCAAACCACTGGTTACACTCTGGAGCACGAGGACCAGATTAGTATTGGCCAAAAAAACTTCTTTGCATAGATGAACCGTTTACCAGAATGATGGAATGATGGGAAGTGAAACAAAAACGGCTCCTGACCTGGAGCATACAACATCATCTGTTATGGCTGCCTGTGAAACCAGGGCACTAATGTGTATTGATGCTGCTGATAGACGAGCAGGGTGAATTGGGAGTCATACAGGGCCGTACACTCAGCAAAATGGGGCAAAACTGATCAGACAGTGTTTAACAGTACAAATGGATAATGACGCAAAGCAAAACAACCAGGGGGTTTCTCAAAGCAAAGAAAGGGAATGTTTTTAAAAGTCAACCTGATGTCACTCCAGAGCGTGCTTTTCAGTTACTGAAGGCAAAAAACCCACTGAAGGATAAAATAAAGGCCTGGAAGGGAAACACAGCTTTTTGTGATGTCCATAGGTTCTACACTTTGGGTGGTCATTGACTGCAAAAGGGTTTCATGACAATCCTCATAAAATGATGTTAGCTTGTCCAGTTAGTTTTGAGCCTGTGGAGATGTGGGGTCTGTGTATAAACATAGCAATATTCCTCAACAGTTATTTTGTTAAACCAGAATTAAAGCAGAACATCTGCACTTCAACCACATCTCGACTGTGCAGGCAGAGAGAGGCAAAACTACAAAAACCGTGTCATTGTCTCAAACCTAAATGTGCAAAAATATAAAGGAAAAAGTGACAAAAAAAAGCAAACTTATGTGAAATTAAAATATTTTTGCCTGTTTCTTTCCAAACTAAAAAGAAAAAAAGATGTCTGGTTTGCTGAGCTAAAATTAGCAGAGGAAAGTTCTACTGAAGTTTTCCACTGTAAACACATTTATAGGTTTTGGATGGAAAAGAGTGGAAACAGCAGTTCTGCTCGGTTCGCAGGCACAAGCTTAAAAATGTGTAATGTTTAACCGTGGATTAGTTTCATTTATTTATAGCGGAGAACATAAGGAAAATACACGAGGGCAGAAATTTACCCAGAACAGCATAAAGTGCGAGTCCTTCTGCCTGCACACAGTCGAGCAGCGACTGCTTTCATCACCTTTGAACCTGAATAGAGGAAGTATGGTGTGAGATTCTGCATGTGTCATGTCCTGTCCTCGCCAAGCTCCTGATTCAGCATCTCTGTCTCAGTTTAACATGTTGTCTTTCTTATAAAATACTTCGGACAGTGTCACATTAAGGGTGCAAAATAAAACGTATGACCTTCTCTGTCTGTTTACAGAATGTTTTAAGGAAGCGAGACCAGAGCCAAGCGGAGTACGAAGGCCGTCTAGAAGCAGCCGTATTGCGCAAACAAGAGGACAGAACGCCCGTGAGCCTTCCCCTTCCTTTCATCTGAATCTGCCGTTTCTGCATTTGTCACTTCTGGGAGCGTCTTTACTTTTCACTGGCATTCTTAGAATTGAAAACTTAATAAATTACAAGTTAAGAGATCATTCGTCAGGTGACCAGGTTAGATTTGTCGGATGTTAAATAAAGTTGTTCATTTTTATCTTTTGCCCATACAAACATCACAGGATTTAATACACACCCCATCCCCACCAACGCTCCTGCACCGCTCGCCCCCCTGTGATTCTTGTCCTGTAAATTAGTCCTGTATTATGTCCCCTATGGCTCCTGTAGCTGATGTTGTTTGTGTTATACCAGATACCAGCGGAAGTAGAGAAATGCCAGGACAAAATGGAGTGTTTCAACGCTGACCTGAAGGCAGACTGGGAGCGCTGGCAGAGCAACAAGAGACAAGACTTCAAACAGCTTCTCACCGGCATGGCCGACAAAAACGTCACCCATTATGAAAAGGTACGCCTGTGTAATTTCTGTAAAAACACTTCAGCTTTTAGCCTCAGGCAGCACAAGAGCTGTTCTTAAAGGTCACCGGAGACACTCCCACTGATACCAGTGTTTCCAGTTTTATAGTGGCATAAAGACTGAAAACAGAGTGGAGCAGTTAGGGAGACGCTAAATGATGTGCAGCTGTCGGGGGGGGGGGTCAACAGATGACAAGAAGACTAACACTAACCTCTCTCCAAAGTGATCCCATCTGTTCATGCGTACAGAGTTTGCACTTAATGTAAGATATAAAAAAAAAGGTCAATTTTTCAAGTTCCTAATAATTGAAGTTAAAAAAAAAAGTTTATGTAGACTAGAGAAATATTATTTAATGATGCGAGCACAACTCAGTATTACTATAAATGAACTTTAACTGTTGGTCGCCGTCGTTGCACTGATTACGCACAACTCTCACCTTGTTTTTGGTTTTCTCTACGTGGAAAACGCACATGCTTAGGATGAGCAGGCGTGCAGTCAGTCCACATAATTACCTCCTGCCCTGTTTTCTTGACTACAACTGTAGGATGTCATGAGGCCTAGGAAAGGTGTGAAAGACTTGCTAACAATATAATGATCTCAAGAAGATGGACTACAAATTCTCATCTTGTTTCTTTCATGTGCTTTAATTACAAAGGTTGTTTATTTGTCCTTCTCATGATCTCATGATCTTGTGTATGTTTATTTTTCAATGCATAAAAATGTCAGACTTCTGTATTTAGTTTGTTACCCTTATCCTCCCTGAAATTTCCCTGAAACTGTTCAAGTGCATTCGCTCATTAGCCCGTAGAGACTGTTTTGTACTCATGTGTGAGTGCTAGAGCCACCTGACTTTTTTTTATTATCTGGTAGATCCTCAGCAGCCTCTGTGGCAGATGTGTGGAATCACTGTACAGATTTCTGAGCTCTCACTGTGAAAACATGACTTTTACAAACATATAAATCTTTCAGAGCAGCCTCAGAACTCCTCTAAATAATTCCAATCTTTCCCTTTTACCTCATTCTTTCCCCACGTCGGCCGACTCTTCGTCCTTCTCCGCCCTGCGCAGTGCCAGGCAGCGTGGGAGTCGCTCATAACTCTCCTCCAGGACAAACAGACTGAAGACAAAACGAGTGAGACGAACTGAAACATCTCTCTATCTCTTTCTCTCCGTCTCTCCACACACACTCTCTCGTTCATGCCACGGAAAAAGACCAATCAGGGCAGCAGGTTTACCTGCTGGACTCGGGGCCCCTGTTCTCCTGTGAGATGATTGTATGAGGGGAGTCGTCTCCCTCTAAGATTTTGGTCCGCTAAGGAGGAAACATACGGTGCATTCGAGGACAGCTAGGAAAAGAGGAGAAACCTACTATGTATAGTTTTTGTTTCTTTTTTGACTTTTTCTACTTTATATTTCGAGTTAACAGTCGGTTGCCAACGCTGCTTTGTATTTATTTAACCGCAGTCTCTTACTCAACGCTCTCCCATTTTCATACTGAGAAAACTGTTCATGAAGGTGTTGCTGCTGTGTGGGTCTATGGAGTATCTTAGGTTTGTTTCAGATGTGTTCAAAACATCCTCAAGATGTTTTTTTTTTCTTTGTCCTGCCAGGTTGTAAAAGCCTCTGGGAAATACGACAGTGAATGAACAGGAATTTACTCTCTTGTACTCAAAGCACCACACCTGTTGTTTTTTGTTGTTTTTTTACTCTATACTTTTACCAAAGGTCACAAACTTCACCCCTGTCGTTCCTGCACCTGTTATTAAAAATAACCCACAAAAATCAGGTGGTATGTGAAAAATGTTCAAGTGGGACCTCTGCGTGTTTTCCCTAAGGGACACTTTAGTATGGCTTGGTTTTTGTTTTTGTTTTTTGCTACAAACCCTCACAGATAAATGGAGATAAACCGTGTTCAGCGATGACGATGAAGGTGCCTACAGAAGAAAACAAGGTCTTGCCATCTATAAATCACCATTTTGGGCTATAATCTCTGGTCTCACTAACTCAAACTTATGAGAAAATAACTTGAAATTTTGAGATTATAACTCAGATTTTTAAGTTACCAAAAACTTTTTGCTACCTGTTTGTTTGTGGGGTTTTTTTTGTTTGTTTTGTTTTTTAAAGTGATGGCAACAAGCTTCTATGGGCGTCTGAGCTGAACGCTGAGGTTTGTCTGAGAGGTCACTTTGTGGAAGGTGGAGTTTTTAAGAGAACAGCGGCTCCACCTTGTGGCCAAGCTGTTAATAGTTTTCTCCCATGCTTTTGAAATGAGGGGGAAGTGAAGAAGTGAGCTACCTCTTTTGGCTTCTCTTGATATCGTCTTTCTCTCACCATTCCCATTTATACCCTTCCTCTTCTTCTTTAAGCAAAGACTTACCTCAGTTGGTGACGTTAACGGTGCATTTGGTTCATAATAATAAGGTGAAGGCTCCAGTGGTAAGAAGACGTAAATGTTTTACCATTGGATTTTTTTTTTTTAAATTAACTTATTATTATTTCCTTGCCTAAGTGATAAAACCCTGCACTGAAGCATGCATAACCATCCCTAAGAAAGCCATGAATCCTGAATATAAGGTGTCAGTGTGTTCATGCTGCTGGCTTACAGAGGAACTAAAACCTCTGGGGCTAGTGGAAAAATCCCTGCTGTGTCATGTTAAGAGTGAGACATTGCAAAAAAACAAACAAACAAAAAACGACACCCTGAGCGATGCAACACATTACTTTAAATTCTTAAATTGCCTGTTTTAACCAAACGGGCTGAGACTGAGGTACTGAACAGCGTGGAAACCCTCTGCGGTGCAGCTCTGTTAGCAATCTGCTCAGCTGTGACTCATGGGATAATGAGGTGGAGCCCTGCAGCACGTATGTGAGGCACACTTTTTGCATCACACTCCTTTATTATTTTCCAACTCCTGAATGGGAAAAATCCCCTCACTGCAATCATAATATTTAAAACTTTCTGATTTACTGCCAACCCAGAAAAAAAGGTTTTGAAGCACAGACAGTAAGCAGCTTGCTTATTCTGCTTTCCTTATACTCTGAAAGTAGCTAAAACCTGACCAATGACGCCCAGGCAGACTCAGTCATGTGACATTTCCACAGTCACCACGTTTTGTCCTCCTGTTGGTTAAGAGTTTCTCCTTCACTGACAGGATTTCCAGACGAGAGCTGCTTTCAGATTTTGTTACAATCAAGTAAAGTAGCCGTCACATTACTGAGCCTGCGCCTTCATGCAACCAAATGCAAGCGCTGCAGGATCCTGACGAGGTGTCTGCAGCTGCCAGTGAACTGGGTTTATTTTGTTCTCTCTCTTTTTTTTATTGTCCTTATCTACTTTTGCCTTTCACATTTTACCCTTAAGCTTTAAAAGAGTGAAGCAGCTACTCTGTAACTAGTAGAGGTCAACAATGTGAAGAAAAAGTATCTTTATGGACAGAGGCAGCTGCAGTGGAGCGGCCTATGGATGCACCAGGGCTAAAAGGGAAAATCCAAAGATTTACTACGATCATTTTTGCCCATACTGTTGTCCTATAATAACCCCATTGCATTTGAATAGCTCAAACCTTAGAGTTTGACTGTTAAGTTCTAGTAGTAGTCCACTAGTAGTGCTATTGAGCAGTATTTGTAGCTGCTCCCACATTGATTGTACTCATACAAACACATCAGGTGCCAGCTTTTATCAATTAAAGGGATCATACATCTGTTTATACTAAAGAAAACCCCAGATCGGTTTAAAAACATTAAATGAGGCGACTTACGTGTTTCTTCTTGATGTTTGCTTGTAGCTAAAACTCACTGAACCCTGAGTGCAGTTTGAGAAGTAACTGGATGAAATGTAGCATAAATATTACAAAAAAACTAAAACAAATAAATATAATAAAGCTTGAAAAACACATTTCCTGTTCTGTTTAAGGTATAACATTGGTATCTGCTGAGGATTGTGAGTTGTTGTTGTTACTTGATTTCTTATCATTAGTCACTGGTGCATCTGTAGAGCATCGCTTTGGTGTAAATGAAGTAATTGACATGTGAGACACACATTTATGAAACTGGAGGGCATCTTTGGGATTTATATGAGTGCATAAAGATTTAAAAGGGATTAGAGATGTGCACGAACAGTGTAAACCTGCCACAACCAAAACAGATTTACTTTTGATGCACATTAAACCTCCAACAATAGCTCTGTTTAGTGTGATCAATGTTCTCTATTAGCCAGTGCCCTATTATTATTATTATTATTATTATTATTACTATTATTATTATACTACATGTGCCTGCTGAATTGTTTTGCACTAAATATGTAGCTCAAGGCCCTGGCAGAAACTTCTGCTGGGGAAAAAAAATAATTTTCTTTCTAATTTAATTTGCTGAAAAATTGAAAACAAACTGGTCTAAAGTCAGTTGAGACACATTCAAAAAATGCTGTATATGAAGCTGATTCAGGTTAAATCCCTCAGACAGGGACGTCTGTTATGAGCCTGTTGGAGGGGAGAGTTTTCATTCAAATATTTCCAGGCCAAATATCCTCCACCCCCAATGCCTCTCTCTTCCTCTCATCGTCCCGGCAGCGTGGATTCGCACATGAACACAAGATCTGATTTTCAGCACATGATTAATAAAAGCGACCAAGTCAGTCTAAACCTCAGATCACTTTTTTGTCTGTTATGGTTTTGTTTTTTTTTTTTAAAAACCTCTGTTGTTCCTCATTGTGTGCTGTTTACGTTCAGAGCCCTTATTGTACATTTGGATGTTAATAACAATTTTGTTGTAATTATAAATAAGCTTGTACATTGATGTTGTTTTTGATGCAATTTATCTTTAACACAAATTGGGGGTTTTCTGATATATTGGACCAATAATAAAAAGAATGAATGCATTTGATATTTTTCTGCTTCTGTAACTTTTCATATATGTATATGTGTATATATATATAGTCATCAAAAAGCTAAATATACTGCAGTTATGCTCTAGATGAAGAGGTTTAGAAAGGATTGAATATTTAAATATTCTTTCATACAGACAATTTAAAAACATCACAACAAGCCTTAATAATGTTTATTTAACAAAAAGATTTTATTTAGTGTCATTGCAGCTCAAACACCAACATAAGTTGCTCTTTATGTTTAATAATTTCATTTAAACTACAGCAGAAGCCCCCTTTTATGCACCGTCAACAAATAAAAGTGCAATAATGTGCAAATGCAAAATGACTATTACAAAAAACCCTTCATTTGGTTTCCTTCAATCAGTACTATAAGCACTACTTCAGCTATACAAACATGTCTACTAATAACTAAAATATGGCTTTAAATTTCTACATAAATTCATGCACAGAACTGTAATAATAATAATAATAATAATAATGGATTGCATTTATATAGCGCTTTTCTAGGCACCCAAAGTGCTTGTACCAGTACCTTCAGACTTAGACAGATGAACATAAAGCACAATCAAATGAATTAGTGGGTCAATATGTAAGGATAATAAAAATATATAAAAGCAAACAAAAAGTTATGTCAAAAAAGATCCCTTAGACTGCCAGTAGTCGGTGTGCGAGAACGTCAAATGACACCAAACCTAAAGCTTTTCCTAAAATATGTGTTGTGAGCAGCTGACCGATGGTGATGATACACGGAGTCATGAGCGGGGGAGAATCCAGCAGTTTTTTCCCATCCACAGAACACTTGTCCACGCACTTGTGATCGTTTGCTAACGTTGCGCTGAATGTTTCAGGCACAACACATTTTTCCTTTTGTTTCCTTACGAACTGCGTCAGTAGGATTAATCTGTCAAATACGCAGCATTAGCTTCCTGTGAAACTTATTTCTGTGTCTTTGTGTTTCTGGCAGCAAAGAAATTAAGAGGGGACTGTTTTGTTAATAATTTACATTGGTTTGCCACTGGGCGCAGACAGGTGGTAAAATATTTGATATTTAAAAAATCAATAATATCCTCTGAGCAGCAAAAATTGGTTCAATCTAAAGAAAACTGGGCAATGTTTTGTTATGGTTTACAGATTGAACGTCGTGTTTCAGTCTTATAATGTGCAACAGTGCGCATCAGACTTATGGAGTATGTTTTTCTTTCAACTTTTTTGGGCTTGTTGCCCAATCTGTAGTGGCGTCTATGCAAGCCCTGCTGATTTAAAAAGCAGTGCATGCAATTAGTCCGTTGCCACTGGTGTAATGCTTAGCTATTATATCAGGGAGCTTAATACAACACTGTTTAAAAAAAAAAGAGAGAGAAAAAGTTTGGTATTGGGGCTGAAAGCTCGTTTCTGCCACTGAAAAAAAAACCCTGATTGGCAGAGCTCATTCGATGTTTCGTTATCTCAAAATTTTGACGTAATAACTGTATTTTTTATTTTGTAGACCAAAATTTTGGAGATAGTAACTCTAATTTTCCATTTCTGGATGCCAGAAACTGTTTTTGACAGAGTCGAGCTTCCGTAAAACGCAGCGTAGGCTTGCAGCAGGTTTAAGTCACACCTCAGAAACAGTGACCTCTAGAGGAGTTAAGGTGATGTGAACAGGACACAGATGTAAACAGTACAAAAAGATGGGCGTGCCTTCTGCGTCTGATGAAATCTGTATTGTCGTTTCGTGGCCAGCAGGGGGCTGGCCATTAAACTCATGTCTGAGAAAAAATATAGATGGCATTGCAGGGTTAGGGCTTGTACAGATGATGTAAGAAAATGTCGCTAGTTTCAGATTTCATAAATGATCCTCTTTATTAGACTCAGTCAGAAGCTGTTAGCCAATGACTGTGCGGTTTCTCGAGCCTCGAGGCTTCACCTTGAGACATCACGGTGGCCATGTCCACCGTTTACACCGTCTGTGACTCAAACTGGATTCACTTCATGTAGCTTTGACCTAAACCCAAACTGCAGCTAAGCTGGCATCAGAGCAGCACTCTCATTAAGTTTGTGCACATTACTGCGCAAGTACAGTAACAACTGCAAAGTCTTTAAATATGGAAACAGAAACAGTAACAGCCAAAAAAAACCCTGATTTTATAACCACACTTCCACTTCTAGCTTCTAGTTTACGAATCTACAAAAACAGTAGGCAGTTAAGTAAAAACAGGTGAATTCATAACAGAGATCAACTTGTGTCAAACTTTCTGTTCCAGTAACATCCTGAGAGGACTCCAGGATACAAAACTCCTAACGAAGTTGTTTAAAACATGTCCCATGGCTGAAAACTGCGTGTGAGTAACAGTTTGCTGACAGAAGCAGCCAACGCAGTCCGTGACAAATCCTAAACTATGTGGAAATCACCGTGGCAGCTTCTGTCTTTGTGAGGCAGTTATCTATTTGAGATGTAGATGTAAAAATACTGTTTGCCCTCTTTTATAACTGAGGAACCCTGTAGGATAGGAAATGCTTTTTCTGCTTTAACAGCACAGGAAGTAGTTTCAAGTCTCAGTTCCCTTCTGCCTTGCACCAATGCTCACTCGCTGCTGCTGCTGCTGGTGATGATGTTACTGGTTCGGCCGCTCTAAATCTTCTCATACTGCCACCTCTGAGGTGATCTGCAGCCGATGATACTGGAGGGAGTAGACAGAGGAGATGAGACAATGAGACTCTGAAAGGCGGGCACGTTATTCTGAAGTGATGGGCACACATACCTGATGGGTGTCATTCCCAGTACTGTGAAAATACTGGCTAGTGTGAACACAAAGCCTGGGAACCAGTCCAGGGTTCCCTGATAGATCTTGGTGAAAGCGGGAATGTACGCCAGGCTGGCAAACTTCAGAGCGAGTTGCAGGAAGGTGAGGGTCATGCCTGAGGAGAAGGGGATGGAAGACAAAGGGAATGAAGAGAGAAGAGCTTGCTGTTTGTTTAATCTATACAAGATATTGCTGCTGTGTGTGTGTGTGTGTGTGTGTGTGTGTGTGTGTGTGTGTGTGTGTGTGTGTGTGTTTGTTTGCTGATGTTTCAAATGACGGGAGAAAAAGCCCTGGCAGTAAATTGATCTGATCCTGTAATCACCTGGAAACTGTGTGTTCATGTGTGACAGAGAGGGAGGAAGCCTTCTCTGGCTAGTTGCAGAGCAGGCTCTTATAATATGCAGGTCATTGTTTATCGTGAAGCAGCCTTAAAGGGATCACATGGAGGACTTGCTTATGCACAGATCCTCTCACATGCATCCAAAACTCCCTCAAACTCAGTGCACGCACACTGAAACACAAGACTTAAAATGGTGGTAGCTTTATTAAGGCTTAAATATCACAAGACTCCAAGGCAACCACATTTCAAAATAAAATTAAAATGTCTTCAGTTTTACAGGGAAGATTATGTTTAACCTAAAAACTCCAACTGCTTTCGGCACACGGGTCTTCATCAGGGAGTAAAACAGAGTCAATGAATCGTTTCTAGTGGCATTCCACCAATTGGGCCCTTTCACCTGAGGTCTTCTTTATTAAGATTTTAAAAAAATATAATAAAACCTCACAGTATCATATTATTGAAGGAGAGCACTTCGCAATCAAGCTGCACTTGTGGTTCCAAGATTTACTAAAAGTAAAATGGGAGGCAGAGCCCTCAGCTATCAGGCCCCTCTCCTGTGGAAACAGCTCCCAGTTTGGCTTCAGGGGAGTATAGTTTTAAAATTAGGCTTTAAACCTTCTTTTGTTTTTGTTTTGAAAAAGCTTATAGTTAGAGCTGGATCCGCTTTAGTGATGCTGCTATAAGCTCAGACTGCTGTGAGGCTTCACAAAACAATCCTTCTATTCTCCACTAATTGAGGAATAATGCTCCCATCCCTCAACCGGTCATGGCAGATGGCTGCCCCTCCCCGAGTCTCTTCCTGTTAAAAGGCAGTTCTTCCTTACCACTCTCACCAAGTGCTTCCTTGTGGAGGATCATGTGACTATGTGCTAAATTTAAAAAAAAGAAAGAAAAGAAACCGTGTCTGACAGCTATACGGGAAATTCTGCGATTACATAATAACTGAATAATAAATGAAGTCCTCAGCGTTGTGCCACCTGCGTGCACATCTGAATCCTATAAAGCAGTAAAAAAAAAAAAACAGCTGGAACAAGAAACAGCTCCTGCTAACGTCTGGCTTATAAAATCTTCTTGCTTATGCTGAAAAGTGTAAAAATGTGACAGCTAATACTAAACAAGCTTAAATCATACGTGGTCTTTTCATTAATTAGAATCAGAATCAGAATCAGAATACTTTATTCATCCCGAGGGAAATTAGTAAGTTGTTTGGGCCTCGCTCTTTCATGGGGCAGTGTAACCCATGTGACATGAACTTTAATGCATCAGAGTTGACAAACCTGTTTAAGAGTCATGAAACTGGTGGCACAGCAGCCTATAACGACAATGCTTTGCTGACACAGTATTTTCTCACGAGCATTAAAAATAAACAGGACTGGTGAGTCTTTTCCCCCTCTAACGTATCAATGACCTTCAGACAGCAAACACAACTCGCAGGAAAAGTCATGTTGTCGTTGCTTTAATGCAACCACAGATCACTCCAGCCTACTCTCAACCCGCTCTGCTCCTCGAACTCTGAAGCCATCGTTGATTTTTATGCTGCAGTCAGTAAACATGTGTCGAGTTTATTATGAATGACCAGACTGGGTTTTCATCCATTGTGTTCAGGCACCAATATTATACATTCATTCACGTGCTCAAATGACAGCCTCCAATATTCTCACTTTTTTAAAGTCAGATTAAGATGAAATACAAAGTGTGTGTTAAGTGCTCAAAAATCTTTCCTGCGTACTCACCACATGAAGAAGCTGGGACCTGCTGTGAGAGCAGAGATCTGATTGTGGTCATCGGGATGAGAGCAAACAGGGTGAGTGCACGAGCTGCAGAAAAAGTTCATGATTAACATTTTGTTCCATAATGAATTCTTCAAATCCGCCAAACCCGACCACAGCTATGCAGCTACTGCTGCCCATTCTGGGTAAGAATAGTCGCACCTGGTGTTTAAACAAGTATAATTTTTAATCTGGCAGTGCTTGCTTTAAAACAATGTCCCAATTCAGAGGCTAAATCCTTTGAGGGAAACAGGTCAGGCCTTCACAGGCAGCATTGACCCACCAAATATCTCCCTGCTGAATAACTGCCAGCTGGTGGTCTGGTCACTGAGATATAGTTATTGAGATATGAACATACAAAGCATATGTCAGAGGTAAGATTTAGAAAAATCAGCACATGTATCAGAATAAAACACACAAAGCAGTCAACTCCCTGTTTCGTAAACATCCCAAGTTTCAATGACCATGTCCATCAATGCCTCATCAGGCAGTTTGTAGTACAGGTTCTTATCTGACTACGAAATACTGAGACTAAGGATTTTTAGTCTATTTTTAGTCTTTGTACACACACACACACACACACACACACACACACACACACA